GGAGGGAGGAGGGAGAGGGGGAGGAAGAGTTTATCCGTTTCTGTGTCCATGAATGATCAAACCACCAGTAGAAGACCCGGACCTGGAGGCGCTCCATTATGTTAAGTTTTGCCGAACTGCCACCGGTGCCACTTTTTTCCTTTTTTTGGCTGGCGCTGCCAGCCATTGTGGTCCGGCAGGTCCGAGGTACACAAAATTTTCGGAGTAGGCGACGAAACTTTTTTTTTTTTCATTTTTTTTCTTCTTTTTTTTTTCTTCTTTTTTTTTCTTCATTTTCTTTCTTCATTTTTTTCTTCATTTTTTTTTCTTCTTTTTTTTTCTTAAAGTCTGGGGCTGTGTACTGGCTGTTTAACACTTCCCTCCACTTTCCAGCTCAGCTTTCTCAGTGCTATACTTCTTTTCTGAGATTTCTGTACAGCTTTTGATCATCGTTATTTGTCTTCCTTCCTTTTCTCGGGGGGGTCTCTTTTTGCATGGTCCGGTGCGTCATGCGCGCGCTTCATGTGCTTTCCGAGAAAAAAAAAACGAAATTGAGTGGTACGGGGTGTCATGTGCGCAGATGGGCGCTGCAAGTAGGCAGCGGGCATGAGGTAGCCATAGCCTGGCTTGCCTCATGGTGGCTGGTGTTGGCGATGGTGCTCTTCGGGTGGTGGGGATGCACACTGTGGGTTAGAAGGTGATGAGGGGAGGGAGGAACGAGACATGTACCTGATGTGTATGCGGCAGTCTGCATTGGTGCCTTCTTCATGTACATTGGTCTTCGACTGGAAGTGATTCTTGGTTCCATGTCTTTCCCAGAACAAAAAAATAAATGCAATCGAGTATTCCATCATAGCAGTGCTGCCCCTGCTGCCTGGTTGTAGACACTTCCCTCCCTCTCTCCCTCCCTCCCTCCCTCTTCGCTCATTTCAGAGTGAATGTTCTCATGATAGAACATTTTGGCACTTCTTCTTCTTCTTCTTCTTCTTCTTCTTCTTCTGCTTCTTCTTCTTCTTCTTTTTGGAAAACAACTCACAGGGTGCCGGTGGCCGGGGGGGGGTAAGAGGGGACCCATCCTCGACCCCCATGGGTCCCCTCCTGGACATTTTCGCACCTTGTTTGATGGGAAATGATGTCAAGTCCGAAAATTTCTGATCTTGGACTCGTGTGTAGTAGTTTTCTGGAAGTTGCTGGTGAATGTAAGATCAAACAGGATGTGGATATTAAATATTTCGATGTCTCATCATCATCGT